TTGTGAAAATTGGGTTTTTAATCTTGGAGTATGAAATTTTAGTCCATGATTAGTGATGAATCTCAATTTGTCTTTTTTGATCGTTAGACTAGTCTACTTGTTTTATATTTTATAAATAAAGATAAATATTCATTTTGTAGAGTGTGATATTTCTATTTATGTTACTTTTTAATGTATGGCATTTTTATTTCAAATTATGGCATTTTTATTTCAAATTATATTTTATTATATTAAAAAAAATGGTTATCTAATTTGTGGGGTTGTTGGGCCAATGGGCTTAGCCTAACTCGTTGTTCTAGGATAAAAGTGGGCAAAAGAAATAGTAAATTCAATTCAATCCCCAGAACGAATTTGTTAGGTTATTGGGCCAATGGGCTTAGCTTAGATACCTTGTTCTAGGAGAAAAATGTTATTCTATGCCGTAACTTATTTAGTTGTATATTTACGGAATTTTTAATTTAAGTGTAAATATATTTTTACTGTTTATAAATTGTTAACTATGTTTTATAGTTATCATTAATTTAAAAATTGTAGTATTTATTGATTTATAACTTATTCATGAATGTATATGCGTGAATTTATTTTGACTGTCGTATTTTTATAAAAATATTTTAAAAAAGTAGTAAATATATAAATTGCTGATATTTACAATGCGAGTATCCATCTGAATAGTCATTTTGATGTAGGCAAGCGTACGAGTGGGAAGAATAAACGAGATACTCTCTCGACAAAACTCATAATCAATTCATATTTTCATTCATTAATCAACCATCGAAAATAAACTAGATGGAGTCATTTATATAAGGCTTCTAACCCTAGATATTAACTTGTCCTCCAAGCCAAATAAATAAAAATAATTAATAATAATAATTAATCCTAATAATAATAACACTATTCTACACCACATTTACTCCGTCTAAATTTTGCATATCCTATTGACTCCAATCTTTATCAATTAACAACTGAACATAATAGAATATATTGTTCCTAAAAGTCCTACGTGCTCAAATTCTCAAAACTTTCTTCAAATTGTATAAAAACTCTTATTTGCTTAAATTCCATATATGAAAAATTAGTATATTTTGTATGAGTTTGAAAAATGCATAAATTATACATAACTTATATTTTGTATGAGATTGAAAAATAACTATAGTTTTGTTTCCTATAAGAAAAGATCGAGTTTTGAGTTTTGACACACAGGCCTAATCACCGTGGACTAGAAATCCTTTAATATGACTGGAAATATATCCAACATTGGCTTATAATAAAAAAAAAGAAATTAAAATAAATATAATTAAAGCATGCACAACTCTTTGGTCTTTTGACTATTTATCCACTGTTTTCTTACCAAACTTCTCATCACATTTGCCTACAAATCAGACCAAACTTTTTAAAGTTGCACTCAAATTCTAATGTACAGCAACAAGACATACACAAACACAAATAACCCTACAATTCCAACTCACAAACACAATTCTGATTAAAAGGGTCTGACTCGCCACTCCTTATATATTAATTCAGAACGTTCTGAACCTAAGTGGCAGGCTCGCATGCTTCGGGATCTTATGTGGCAAAATTACATGCTTCGTTATTAGGCTTGAGTAGATTTTAATTTACTTCCCATCCAAAAATAATTAGGTTCGGATTATCCATAAATATGTTGATTATTTATGGTCATTTACATGTATTAATTGCATTTTATTATCATATCTTATAATAACCATTGAATTGTAAATATAATTAAAAGTTAATAACTTTTATATTTTTTTATCATTTTTACATATATAATATATCAAATTAATCATCTCTTGATGAGCTTCGATTTAACATTCATATTGTATGTATAAAAAAATAAATTATATTTATCTTTATAACAATAATAAAATTATTTTAATATAAATTAAAAAATTAAATTATTTATCAATTAATATATTTATATTTCAAGTAATTATATGCTATAAGTTATAAAAATTACTATATTCTAAAATATATAATAATATATATTTTTTGTAAAAAAGTAAATAAAATTTAAAATAATTTTTCTCATTAGTTTTAAAATTTAAGAATAATTTTTGAACAAGTACCTGTGTAATACACGGGTATTGTACTAGTATTTTTTAAATAGAAATGTATACTTATACTTCAAATGTTATATTGTTTTTACAATATGACATATATACTTGAAAATATAACTGTTAGACTAATCAATATGACATATATACTTGAAAATATAACTGTTAGACTAATTATTAGACCTGCCTAATTATAATCTTACAAATTTTAAGGTTATTGCTTTAGAAACTACACATTTTTTTTTTCTCAAAACCAAACTCTGTATTTGTACATGTCCAAAGACCTACCAATCCCACCCATCATTTTGGACCAAAATTTCCTAAGTGGAAACTTGCACAAACTCCCTCTAACCCCAAAACCATGTATAAATTTCCATGCAAATTACACCTCCAAGCACCAAAACCACACATTCTACTCACATAAACATCTTTTCAAAATCACCCGAGTGAGGTCGAAAAACGAAGGTCTCGACTCTCGAGCTATTTTCACCACCCGAAAATGAAGAAAGTACACGCACAAGACGAAGTTAGCGAGGTTAGTGAGGCCTCCGAGGATAATAGTGCACCCGAGAAAGCCCCTCCGAATAAAGGGCTTTCGAAAATCGATTTTGCAATGAGGATAGTGGCCGCTATTGCTACCTTGGGGAGCACCATTGCCGTTGGTACAACCAACCGTACGCTCCCCTTTTTCGCGCAGTTTGTTCGTCTGCAGGCTCAGACGCGAGACCTCCCTGCATTCACGTGAGCATTCGTCGTAATTGATTGGCTCAAAACCATCTTGTTTTCGTTATTTTTTTCATAGAGACGCAACAAATTACTTATTTATTTGTTTTATTCGTTTTTTTCTACACGAAAAGGTTCTTTTTGGTCTCGAACGGCTTAGCAACTGCATACCTTGTTCTTTCGCTCGCGTTGTCCGTATTCCATATGTTGAAGAGCGGCGCGAAGCTCACAAGGGCCGTGCTCGTCATACTCGACATGGTAATTATAATAGGATTTTGGCATTTAGTTTGACTAGCAAATTTGGTATAACATTTTGTATTACCTTTATTAATTGATGATTTTCTTCTCCAATTTGTGAAGATAATACTATCTCTTTTGACTGCCGGTGCTTCTGCTGCTGCTGCAATCGTGCACGTGGCCCACAAGGGCAATGCAGAGGCCAATTGGATCGCAATTTGCGAGAAATACAACACGTTTTGTGAGCGAGTCTCGGGCTCACTAGTCGGGTCCTTCATAGGAGTTCTTATTCTTATGATGTTGATAATCTTGTCGGCTCTTGCTCTGTCTCGATCATAATCTCTCAATGGCACGAGCGCTTACTATTTTGTTCGTCTTCAATGGCGCGTGTGTTTGGTTCGTTGTCAACTTAATTTTTCGTATCGATTTGAATTCATAAGGCTACCATTTTTTTTGAACAAAGTAATATGTTACATGATTGTACTTTTACCTCAAAAGGAAAGATTTCTTCATGTGATTGTAACTTTTGTATTGTGTGTTCACCACCATATATATAATAATATGAAGTGGCTATCTATTTACTCCAAATAATTTTATACAAAGTGTTGTTTCACCTAGAGAGAACAAAATTTGAAAAGCATAATGTATCACTCGAACAATCGAAACGAAATCTCACCTTTAGACGTTCATGAAATTGAATCCTTCAAGGCATTTGAATGTCTAGACGACCTCAACTTATTAAAGGTACTGTCAATGCCAATTAAATAAAGTTAGGTTTAAATGAGATGTTGCGTGAAATTTTGAGAATTCAATAATTCATGTTTTAGTAGTATTTAGTAAGTGCATTTTATTTTATTCAATTCAAGTGATATTGGTTTAATAGTACAAGATCAAGTTGATTAGTGAACTAGGTCAGGTACAACTAAAACTTTTGACTTTCTCTAATATGAAACTTATTACAGTCAATAATAATAAGGGCGCGGCCTTTATATTGAAGCCAAAGGTCAACAAACCAAATTAAATTAAATCACACATTTTTAACCTTTTATACTTTTTATTTTTTAATGGCTTGCCCGTGGATAAGATTGGCTCCTGAATGGACAAGATTCAGAGTACCTTAACAGTCAATTATTTGTGTTGGTTAGAAAATTCTAACTATAGCAGTAGTTTTAGCTTTTTACCTTCTATTATTTTAGAATAGAATGATAGGAATAATTGTTAGAACATGTTATTTAAATAAACCACCATTTGATATTGTTGAATTATTGATGAATCGAGATTTTCGGTCGAACCGTTTAACTCGAGACTCTCGAGTCATGAACTTCTCGAATCAGAAAAAGTATACGGGAGATAATTTGTTGCGAGATTATAATTAAAAAGTGAACCTGAAAATCTTTATTTATAAAAAATTAATTGACTGACTTCTGAAAAAATCTTTATTTATTCAGACTAACATTATATATGTTTAGAAATAATGTTAATACAATGATGTCACAATCTGTTGTAACCAAAGAAAATGACAAATTATAGAGGATAAAGACGAGTAACTAGGCAAATGGAATTTCTCAAAAAGGATCCAAATAAAAAACAAAAAATAGAATTTAGGATATGATCATATGAAGAGTACTTAAGTTAACTTCTTAACAAGTTAAATAAAATAATCAACAAGAAATGCGTCACACGAGCCTAAATCACGAGAATAATGCATCATTTAAGGCCCTAACAGAAACTGTCTTTTGTGTGTGGTCCTTATAAGTTGGAAAATTAATATGTACACTTTTAAGTCGTTGTCTCATCATTTTTATTTTTATTTTTATTTTTTATTTTTTATTTTTTATTTTTTTTTTTGGCACAAGTTGAAGATTTGTGAAGTTATCAACAATAGAGAAGTAGATGACTTTGGTTAAACAGAATAGCAACCAACTGGACTTTTTAAAATTTATGAACATATTAAGATACTAAAAGATTCCCATCTCACTAAATGTTGCATCTACTTACTAATTACACCCTATTAATTAATTTTTAAATGCCTTTCTCTTTCACAATTAATAAATTAATAGCCTGGTCAAGGCTTGATACTTCTTATTGAGCATTGAAAGACTTAAAACTTTAGTAATAGCAAAATAAATGTGAGTTTTAGTTACAATAGATCAGACTAAAGGGGGAGATAAGGTGCTGAGGTCACTAAAAGGAAGACAATACAATATAATTCACATTATTACAGCAGAAAAAACAAACTCAGCCAAAAGCTTCCTTATATCTCTCCATAAAAACAACTATTTATGGACTTGTGTTCCTCAAAAAACACCTTCATTCTTAGCTAAACCTCTCATTCTTTCTGCTAAGAGACCTCTCTTTCTTTCTATCTTCCTCACATACACACACTTTTCGCGTAAAAACCGTTCGTATTTTCTTTCTTTTTTCCTTCCTATATATCGATAGTTCGATACTCACTTAAACTTGCCAATCTACTCATACAATATTCAAACTTTGGCTTGTTTTGTGCAAGAATGGGAGATTTTTCCGATTTCGATACGAAAAACGAGCCAGTAATCGATTTGCCACCCGGGTTTCGATTCCACCCAACCGATGAGGAGCTCATCACACATTACTTGAATCCGAAAGTTATCGACAATAGCTTTAGCACGATCGCTATTGGTGAAGTGGACCTCAACAAGGTTGAGCCTTGGGATTTGCCATGTAAGTACAATAAATATAATAATTTGTACCAAACCAACTTTTCTTGCGAAAATTACGATAACATTTTATGAAATCGTCATAATTTAAACGAGTCTGTTTTATGTAATTTTTACTTTAAGGGAAGGCGAAAATGGGAGAAAACGAGCGGTATTTTTTCTGCATTAAGGATAGGAAGTATCCGACTGGTCGGAGGACTAACCGAGCTACAGTTGCCGGATATTGGAAGGCAACCGGGAAAGATAAGGAGATTTTTCTAGCCAAATTCTTAGTTGGGATGAAAAAAACTTTGGTTTTTTATCGAGGCCGAGCACCAAAAGGGATGAAGACTAATTGGGTCATGCATGAGTATAGAATGGAGGGCAAAAAATCTCTCCATAATAATAATAATGTCCCAAAAAATGATAAAGTAATCATCTTCCCCTGTTTTCCCCTGTTTTTTCCCCTGTTTTTCCCCTGTTTTTGTGGATTTGATGTTCATATTTTTTTTTTTATTTTTTTTTTTCTTTTTGTGTTATATATTATTTGCAGAATGAATGGGTAATATGCAGAATTTTCAAGAAGTCTTTTGAAGAGAAACAAGATTACAGAGAGGATTCACGAACATCCGATTTACCTCCACTAACGGACGTGTCGTTTGATGAGAATCACACGAGCAATGTATTTTCGTCCGAGGAATCATCTCATGCGACGTGTTTCACCAAGCCTTCGGTGGACCCTCGAGATATTTCTTGTCGTGATTTTGCTTCTAACTCGAGGAGTTGTGGCTTTTCGCCTCAAATGGTAGCTCTCGATAACTGCTCGGAATTCGTTGAGGGTTTTTCCTTTCAAGAAGATCATGAATTTCAGAATATTTTTAGTGGGCATTTGGATATTGACTGCCTGTGGAATTACTGAACTGGTATCTTTGTAATGGTTTAGGAATTAGTATTATTTTCTGGATTTTTTTTTTAATTTCTCATTTTTAATTAGTGATATCTGGGAAATATTAGTTTGGACATATTGTTATATTACCTGATATAGTTTCACATGAATTTGTACTTGTTTGTGAATCTATATATATATAATTGCTAGCTAAGCAATAAATTTTACCTAATAAATAAAACCTAATAAATTTTACCTATGTGGCAAATCATTAATAAAACCTAATAAATAGAATTTAATAAATTTTATTTATGTGACATTAATACAACCAATCTCATTAATAAGAAAATATTGCATTACATTTTTTTGGATTAATTAAGACAAAAACCATTATATTTTATGTTAATTAATTAATAATTATATTTTTTATTGAATAATATAATAGTCAATATTAAAATTAGTAATTATATTTTATACTAAATAATATATGAAAGTTACATAAAATTATATTTTTTACACTAAAATCAATATTTCTTTTATACGATGAAGCGGTTGTTTATTAATAAATTAATTTTTTTTATGTCATAGTAAAATTTCTTAAAATCATATAAGCAATTGTTATAATAAATGTAATATTTTCCAGCTAATTAATTGGTCATGATCACTCAAAATTATAAAAAGTATATATTTATTACATTTTATGCGATCAATATAGCGATTCGTATACAATCAAATCGTGTGTACTATTTATTTTAACCAATGATCAAATTTTAAAATATAATACTATTATATAATTTATAATTTTAATATTATATACATAAATATAACTTATAATACTATATGTTTGAAATATAATACAATTATATAACTTATAATTTTTATATTATATACATAAATATAACTTTTAATATTTAATTTTATTTACATCTGTGCAAACGCACAAGTCGAATACTAGTTAGTAAGAAGGCTAATGGTTGAAAAAAAAAACATAAATTGCATGCAACGTTATTGAATTTGCATCTGAGATGAATTGAGTCACTTAATAATTTTAATAAATGAAGTAATGAACTATTTGAATTTTACATTTTTAAGTTCAAATGTCTTTTTTGTTCTCATGCTGATCTCAAATTTACTCATGCCTCAACCGAGTTCTTTGGGGAAATTTAAATGAATAAAAGAAACTCCGCTTGTATTTCAGTTATGATACAATAATCGTTTATTTGACGATAAACAGACATGTATTTGAAGAATCGAAACAAATAGGTTATTTTTGGTTTAGTTCGGTTATTTGAATCACGATTACAAAATCCACCTTGTTAAGAAATTTTCATAAGAAAATCATCAGTTTTGCTATGGAGCCATCAGATGGCTTGACTTATGGAGTCATCCACACTTATTCATCAATAGTGTATTGACACGTGTCCTGCAATAAATACAATTTGGACAGGTGTCAATAAATTAAGTGATAAATGACTCTATAAGAAAACTATCTAATGACTCCATAGAATTTTTGAGAAAATCATATCACTAGCAACTTTATACAACTATTAAGAAAATAGTTAGAATTGTTATGAAATCTAGGTGATTTTTCAAGACAAGACTTCTCGCACTACTATTTATGAAAACCCAAATTTATTTAATAAATTCTAAATATACTATTAATTAATTAAAAAAAATGAGAATTTTGTGTTTTAAACCAAAACCTTTATGCATAACAACTTCGAACACTAGGCTGGCAATATGTAGGCCCCCACCTAATGTTGTTCGTTTAGTAAACTGTTTAGATGCGTCATATTAGGCCCACAGCCCATATCTAATGATCCAATAAAACGACAAAATATCTTGGCCCAACTCAACCAATAACGGCCTAGGCGTAGAGATCTTAGTCCACACCCACCTTGCGACGTCATCTATTTTGAAGACTTTCACTGGTAACGGTTTTGATTGTATTAACGATTAGTTTATTAGAAAATAGTTGTATTTAGCATCTTATAACATAAAGTGATTGATAATAATTTGCAGTGGATACCAATGTTTTTGTATAAAATGAATAATAATAATATAGTTTGTACATAATTTATTTATAATATGTGCCCTTATGATGTATTTATTGTGAATAAATAAATATTATTGACCCAACGACAATGGTTGGCTTAAAACTATTATATGTAATATTTTTTAAGTTGCTAATTTATAAATATATAAATTTTAATTTGTAATAGATGAAAAATATTGATCGTTAATCAATGTTTTTATTGTAAAAACATATATTTTGCAACAAATAAGCAATCCTCTCTTATAAAAAGCTAGCTTTCCAAAATTTGCTAGTTGGAGTAAAAAAAATTAATTTGGAACTCTTGTACCAAATATGTGGAAAAGAGAATCTGCTATAGAAAATCCATCAATGATATGTTAGATCCAAAACTCTAAGTTGGACTAGGCCTCGATTAAAGACCCAAATATTATTCATTCTGTTTTAATGAGACCCAAATATAACAACTATAATGGGCCTATACTTATGTAGCTAATCAATTAGGAGTTTGGTAGTTAAGACAAGGATCACAAGAGTTCAATTTCAAAGAATCAAATTAAATATGCATGATAGACTATTGTATAATTATTTTATTTTACAAAATATAATATTATTTTTTCTAATTCAGGTGAAAATGAGAAGGTAAGATTATAGAATTGATAAATATGAAAACCGTATAATATTATATCATTTTTAATCAAGTGATTATTAAAAAAAATATAAATATACATATCATAACATTTCTTTCGAATATAACATCATTAATGGACATCATATACAATTATTTCGAATATAACATCATATCATTAATCCAGATATATAACATCATAGGTTTTTGCAACCAAAAAAATTGTTTGGGAGCACGGTTTACACACTATCTACTTTTGGATTAAAATTAATTGGCCGAAAATATTGATGCACATTAAAAAGACAATAATATTTTGCAACAGAATTTAATTAATTAAACATTCTAAAACAATGAATAAATTAAAAACAGGACATGATAGAAATTGTTTAAAAGGGCATAAAGAACAGCTTGGGCCACGAGTTTTCGATAGCGAATGAATCTATTTTCCATGCAGAAGATGATATAAAACCTATTACTAGTGTGTATCCCGTGCGCTGCACGGAGGGGTTTTTACTTAAAACCTTTTCTAAGACTTTATATTATACATAGTTATTTATGTTTAAATTCTTATTATTATAAAAAAAGAAATACTAAATATGAAAAATTATATATTATTTATTTGAATGTAATGAGTGTCCCAACCAAACTAATAACATCCAACATATGATATATGATAAAATTAGTTATATGATCGTCATACTTTTTGAAAAAATATACATATATTTCTAATAAACATGTAAGATCCGCATTTAAATTTGTATTTGGATATGGGATGAAAAATGAATATGTACAAATAAAAAAGTACCAAGAACCTACATAAAATGAGATTCTTTATAAACTTTAAAATATTTTGTAGTTAAGCAAATATTAACAAACAAAATCATCAATTAAGTTGAACTTATCGAATATAAAATATAATTTATGATATCTTTGACCATATTTACCCGTTGTATTTAAAGTTATCATTGACCATATTTTTATGAATTAGGGTTTACAAAATATCTTTTTCAAAATAACAATTTTTTTTTAATTTGAATTTGACTTTTTCATCCAACCGCCATTTTCCACAAGAATAAAAATAGTATTTTAGAAAATTTTAGACGTGAAAATAAAATAAAATTAATTTAATAGTAATCGATTAATTTAATATTATTCAAAATTGTTTAATTCGGTCAACCCGATCTTAGTGCACGTTTCATTGAAACAATCGCTTACCAAAAAAAAAGGTAATCGCTTACAAAAAAAAGGAAGTGAAATCTATCTATATAATATAAATCGGATTTGAAAAAAAAAAGGAAATGAAATTTCATAATTAATTAATTTAAATTGATGTTATCCGATTTATATCAACTCCCTTCCAAAAAAAAAGGAAATATCCGATTCCTACCAAATCGATTAAAAAAAAAGGATTATGATATACGTCCAAATAAATTACAATTGAAATGTAGGCGGGATTATGAAAAAAAAATAAAAAAAACTTTACCGAATGTTTGAAAAAAAAAATCGGATTAAAAAAAATTAAAAGGAAAAAATTCAAAACGTGAAATTAAAATTAAAAACGTGAATTAAAATTAAAAAAATTAAAAATACAAAATTTACCAAATCTCAACCCATAAAAAAAAAGGAAAATCGAGTGAAATAAAACGTGAAAAAAAAGGAAAAGCGAGTGAATTAAAAATGTACCAAATCTGATTTTAAAAAAATGGTAACAAATCTCATCTCATCCTAAAGAAAAGGAATTATAACAAATTTAACAAAAAAACAACCAAATCTTATCCTAAAATAAAACAATCCGATTTCCATAAATCACATCCAAAATCAAATTAAGGTAGGCGGGATAAATGAAAAAAATTCAAAAAGAGTTTCCAAAACAGGTAATTTTCGAAAAATTTGAGAGGGAAAAAATGATGTTTAAGCGGGAAATGAAATATTTATTCAAACATTTATTCAAACATTTTTCCTTCTCCGTATTATATAATAATAGATTAGGTGATAGAATTTTGATCACATCTATATATATATAATAAGAATTAACATTTACCAAAAATAGTAGCAAAAAAATAGGTCAGAATTTAATGCAGTTTATAAATAGTAAGTTTTATTTTTTTTTTTATTTTTTCCTTAAAATTCATACAGCATTAAATGTTATCTTAAATTTCGGGTTATAGTTCATTTTATTATTTAAAAAATCCTGCTAAGATTTATTAAGTGTGTATGTTTTTATTTTTATTTTTTTCTTAGAAACAACGAACAAAATTAAACTCTCGGTCTCTATATTTATAAAATCTCAATTCAAAATATAACAAAAGTTTTAGAATCCGGTCTTTATATTTGTGCCTTTAAAAAAAATTGAACGCTAAAAATATTCTTTAAATTGTATAATCAATCAATTAATCTTAATTTTTTGAAAATTACTATGTTTATTTTTTATTAATATGCATAAAGTAAAAATAATTAATTCATGTTAAGATATATAATTTATAATCTTAATATACTATCATTTGGTATAGACATTTATTATATGAATCATAAAATATTTTTATTTCATAAAATTAAATATA